GCGGAGTCTGCATGACAGTGTTCTTGCTTTGGAGAAGCGGCGTCTCAGGGAGAAGGATGTGGCATACCCGGTTTTCGCGGCCAAGGTGCCAGAGGGCAAGGGCTTTGTGGATAACTCCATCGGGCGTACGATCGTCCTGCGTTTTGATGACATCCACGCTATGTTGAACCTTCATCCGCTGCACTACACCTTCGTTCGGCTATTTTCGTTGAGTATGGAGATGCGGATCATTCGCGACAAGACCCCGGACATCGTGATAGTCGACCCCTTCTACATGCGTGCCAAGATCTTGGGCAGCGCTGGGGACCGGCAAGTCGCGAGTTCTTACCTCGAAGGCGTCATTCTGGCAAACCAAGATAAGGATAACTTCCTCGTGCCTTACTTTCCCGAGTAAGTCCTCCCCTCAACCGGCCCGTAACATATGAATTCTTACTTTTCGATCGTTTTTCTTTTAACATTCCGGTTTTTCTGCAGTGACACACGTTGCACGCTCATCCTCCTAAGCCCCAAATATTCCATGGCCACGTATTTCGACCCGGACTGTCAGTCGAACGTAGACTACACAAATGTCAAGAAGGTTCTTGATGATGTTCTCCCCGGCTACGCCCAATCTGGAGGCACCTTCACCAGGCCTATTCGTAAGTACGGCAAGCACGTGTTCTCCCACAATACAACGTTCTGCTGCGTCAAGCAGCCGCCTGGCGGTCAGAAGGGTGCCTACTACACCATCCATCACATGCGGGTGATCGTACGGGACCATCATCAACTTCTGCTACCGAGTAAACTCAAAGATTGGGCCGCGGGCGTGTCGGCAATCCAGGATGCGGACCTCCGACAAGAATTCTTTCGCATCCAGTCGGAGTTTGCGGAAATCATCCATCAAGATGTCCTTCGTACCTCGGGGCAGTTCTACCTCAGAAATCAACCGTCCAACAGTGACATCGACACAATGCTACAAATGCAGGATGACAACGCCCGTTCTTTCATGACTCCCACGATAGACGGCGGCTTCATCCACGCTCCGGTCCCTTGAGTCGAGTTGTCTAGTTCTGAAACATCGATTGGCTCATGTTGTAATTAAACTTTAATGAACTTGTAGTATGTCTCTTTGGTTTCGAGAGTCGTTCAACTTAGATGTAATCGATGCTATTAATGTCTTCCTTTTCTCTTCCGATCGTTCTGTTGCATAATTATATATTGCTTATGTATTGTCTGTGAATTGGTACTAACGTTTCGTTTGGCTAGTGCATAGCGATGCCGACGTATGTCGTGTACAAGGGTAAGGTTCCCGGAGTCTACGATGACTGGGAGGAGTGTCGGAGACAGGTTCACCGATTCAGCGGTAACAGTTACAAAGGGTACACCACTAGGGCCGAGGCCGAATCTAGATACGCCCGCTATCTAGCGGGAGAGGGGAGGGAGCGTTGGAGGAACCGGATGAAGACGAGTTTCATCGTGATGATGCTCATCGTGATGACCGCAGCTCTCTTCAATGTGATGGTAGTTTAGATGATCGATATCGACTTGTAATGTGAAGACAAACTCGCTACTCGTGGTCTCAAGACTTGTAATATAATGTTCTATCTTTGTTCGGTCTTTTTAATTCAGAGACTAATATGATGAATTGTATTCGGAGACTAATATGATGAATTGTATTCAAAGACTAATCTTCTATTGTATTCGATGAATCTGTTGTTGATGTGTGCTGTCTATATTTTGTCAAACTATACATTTTGTAACCTGTGCAAAAAACAGAAAATAAAAAGATAAAAAAAACCTAATATTCATACTAATGGCGCATCACAGGACAGTGCGCCATTAGTATGACAGTGCATACTAATGGCGCATCACTGGGTAGTGCGCCATTAGTATGCCGCGGTTACTAATGGCGCATCCAGTGGTGGTGCGCCATTAGTATGCCAAAGCACCTGGGTATACATGGCCCCTGGGAGGCATACTAATGGCGCACGCTGGCCTAAACTAATGGCGCACCAGGTGGTGCGCCATTAGTAAAAATTACTAATGGCGTGCTGTTAATGGCGCACCACAGATGCGCCATTAATGGCCATATTAGGTGCGCCATTAGTAGGGTTTTTCTAGTAGTGTTGGTTCAACTCCATAATCTTGACAGAGGCTCCCAAGTGACATCTAACCAATTTAGGAGACACCACTCTCCAAAAGGTAATAGATGGTGTGTTGATGATGAACTCCTTGCTCTTGTGCTTCAAATGATAGTCTCCCCAACACTCAACTCTCTCTCATAGGATTGGATTTGGTGGAAAAATTATTTGAGTGGAAAGCAACTTGGTGAAGGCTAGATATCAAGATTCATATGGTTGGATTGGAATATCTTGGCCTCAACACATGAGTAGGTGGTTCTCTCTTAGAAAATGGATGCTGGAAGTGTAGGCATGTTCTGATGGCTTTCCTTACGAATGAGGAAAGGGTGGAGGGGTATATATAGCCTCCACACAAAATCTAACCGTTACACACAATTTACCAAACTCGGTGGGACCGAATCATAAAACATGGTTAGACCGATTTAGTTCATAATGTGACCGTTAGGCATTTCGGTGGGACCAACACGTCAACTCGGTGGGACCAATTTTGTTAGGGTTAGGGCATAACGTAATCTCGGTTGGACCAATTACACAAACTCGGTGGGACCGACTTTGGTAATAAGCTAACCAGAGAGCTGGTCAGGCAAACTCGGTGGGACCGATTCGCTCGTCTCGGTGGGACCGAAACGTTACGAAAGGGAAACAGGGAGTTTGCATTGCGAATTCGGTGGGACCGATCACCCATCTCGGTTAGACCGAAACGTTACGAAGGGAAACAGAAAGTTTGCAATCCCATCTCGATGAGACCGAGATCCCTATCGGTGAGACCGAAGTGACTAGGGTTTCTGGCAGTGGCTATGTCAAATGAACTCGGTGGCGCCGGATAGATCAAATCGGTGGAGCCGAGTTTGATTTTTGGTTTGGACATATGTGGATATGAGAAAGTGGTTGAGGGTTGTTGGAGCATATCACTAAGCATTTTGAGCAAGTAAGCCATTAAGCAACACCTCATCCCCTTTTAATAGTATTGGCTTTCCTATGGACTCAATGTGATCTTGGATCACTAAAAGTAAAATGTAAAGTCTTGAACTTTAGAGCTTTAGCCAATCCTTTGTCCTTAGCATTTTGAGGGGTCCACAATCCTAATCCATGCCATGCCAATCACTGAACTTTCCTGAAATATTCATATTGAAATATCATTAGTTCAATGAGCTATATATTGTTAATCATTACCAAAACCAGTCGGGGATAATTGCACATTCACTCCCGCGCCAGATCCGTGCCCCGCGCCTCCGTGCGCTGCCTCCGTGCACTGCCTCGCCGGCCAGCTATGCCGTCCCGAGCGCGCGCAAATGCTCGAGCTCACGCCGAATTTCTCCAGCCTGCGCCAGCACCTCCCAACGACATCGTAAATTTCAAGATGATATGCCGACTCAGTCTTTCGGAAGTGCTCATAGGGATAGGGTGTGCATGTGTGCGTTCATAGGGTTAGTGTATGCGCGTGCATACGAGCGCTTGTGTATGTATGGTATAAAAAAAGAAAAAAGAAAACAGGACAACGCACCCAAACTTTCACTCAACTGGTCACCTGTGATTGATCTTCTTTTTTCCCGATAAAGACATGTGATTGATCATGGTATGGTAGTTGCTATCCTACAAGGATGCAGCTTGCACAAGAAGCGTGTTCGAATTTATTAAGGAATTTTTCATCGTCGCCTCTTTGCCGGGAGTGACAGGCGATTGATCTTCTTTTTTCCCGATAAAGACATGTGATTGATCATGGTATGGTAGTTGCTATCCTACAAGGATGCAGCTTGCACAAGAAGCGTGTTCGAATTTACTAAGGATTTTTTCATCGTCGCCTCTTTGCCGGGAGTGACAGGCTTACAATGTGGAGCAACAAGAACTGCCAAGTGCTAAGTGCATGTACAATGGTTCTATTTTAGGCATTGCCACGTAGGATAAATGATGAAATGGAGGAGAGAGAAATCATAAAAAAAGGTTTATCTTCTCTTATTTAAGAGAAGACAAGAGATGATCTCTTAGCACAATATGTCTCACCACGTTTTTAGGAATAGCTAGTTATTGAAGATAAGGCTAAGAGATGACGCATTGTAGACATATTTTTTTGTCATCTCTAAATCACATGCAAGACTTAAGATAAGACTATCTTATCAACCATTGTACATGCCCTAAGCAATGAAGGGATAGACTGATGTTAATCAACAGAAAGAACGACTAAACAAGAAAAACTGTAGGGGTTCCTCTGGGCCAAAATTTGTCAGAAAACAAGGTCTAACAGGGTCGAAACTCTATCTGATCAGTGATTGCGCACGCTGCAGACGCTGGCTTTCATTCAACTTCTCCTTTGGTGACAGTTTGTCGCCGATCAGTGTCACCTTCCAGCAATCAGCTTGGAGGACGAAAACTGATCCAGCTTTCGGTACAACTGCAGGTTTGAAAGTGAGTTTCTTAGAAAGCAATCCATCAGGTCTGCAGTAATTAATAGTTTAATACTAAAATTCATGACTACAAACAACATAGTATAACGGCAAGAACGAGCCTATGGGGAGAGCAGTTCCGTTGAGCGAGTAAAATACAACGTTTTGAGCAAGAAGCTGAACAACCCTGTTCGCTTGTACTTCTGCCATGAAAAATTCAAGTGTGGACCTCACCAGAAAAACAAGCATGCGTTTCATCGCAGTCTCTTAGAGCACGAACCATATGGATGGAGAGTTACACTAAAATTATTTAGCACAATCAATGGGAAAAGGAAGTATCATATTAGCAGTAGAAAGGAAAATCCAACACAAGATTGCAACAGCCCTATATTCCCAAACAAAAAAAAAAGATTGTAGAAGACATGCTCTCAAGCAAACTATACATCACTTCATCCAAGCCTATTCAAAGTATTGCATTACGAAGTGGGATAGTAGGTACCTCGGAAGCGGTTGTCCTCTGATATAATTCCAAAAGTCTCTGCAGTGTCACGAATCATGATGCCACTTACACCTTCATATGAGGCTGCTTTGCATTGCGCCACTGCGAATGACCAAAAGAAAACACAAAAACAATGACAGGATCAATACAGGCAGTCTAATAACCCAGTATGCAACTATGTCAAGTATATGAATCACCTATTATAAGCGCCCCATGAAGATCTGCTGAAAGGAGGTTTTCCGACAATTGCTTTTTCCTATAAAGAAAACAGGGAACATCAATACCTCATACATTGTACTGAAAAGGCATAATAGAGGGTTAGCCCAAATCTGGGAAAGGTTAAACTGATTACATTTCTTGAATTTGATTATCCAAATTTTCAAATTTATTAATCTTCTCAGAACTCTATTTAGTATAATTTTATACAATTACAGCTTAATTAAGCTATTTTTGAGGCAATCAGATGAATACCAACAATCTAGTCCCTACAGTCAATAAGTTTCCATACAATTATCATTTTTGGGTGGGCTCGGTCTTACTAACAGCATAAAGCCTGTGAGTTACTGTACTGTGAATATTAGTCAAAACAAACTGATAATTAAAGAGTAGCACAGCTGTACAAATATACCAATTCAATATATCAGTAGTTGGATCCTTCAAAAGTAGACACCAACTACAAAAGATCTAAAAACAATTAAGTCGTATATTTAAAAATAAGAGACAAATAACAGCAAAAGATCCAAAGACCAAATGCCTTTTCTTTTACAAATTGCAGTCTGTTATGACCGGCATGTTAGGGGCTTAGCCCAGTTAGTTGTGGCCCAGTCTATCTTATCGTTATTAAGGGCTTAGCCCGATTATCATTGTTAGGGGCTTGGGAATCAAGTAAACCTCTCTATATAAGGAGAGGAGATGTATCAATCTAATCAAGCAAAGAAGCAATCATATTTGCTCGGCTTCCTTAGGGAGTCGGGAGACCTAACCCTAGCCGCCTCCTCCCCTGCGCCATCTCCCTCTCAGCCGCCGCCTCCTCGCGCACGACGGTGCCCAGCCGCCGCCGGCCGCGAGTTCGTCCACGACCAGCTCCCTCCTTCCCCTACAACCTCCGGCCTAGACCCAGTAGAACCCTAGTTTCTACCAGTTTGGTATCAGATAGCTCAGTTCCGATCATGTCTTCGCCGTCGCCCACCCTGTCGCTTCCGTTGCCGACCGGCACCACCACGCCGCTGCCCTCCCCGTCCGCGCCGCTGGTCGCATCCTCCGGCGCCGCCACCGCCCAGATGTCGGCGCCCTCCACCGCACCACCGGCCGCCGGCCCTACCGTGGTACTCGCCGCATCCAGGGGCCTCCGCGGCGTCCGCTGGGACACAGCTGCAGCTGCTGCCGCCGCCGCCCGCCGCTGCCCTCCCCGTACGCGGACGCGCCTCCAGCGCCCATGGCCGCCCCCGCGCTGCCGTGGTAGCCGCCGGCACCAGGCGGCCTTGGCCGCACTCGCGGGGCCACTGCAGCAGCCGCTGCAGCTGCCATCCATCGCCACCACCGCCCAGCCCTGGCTGCAGTGGCAGCCACTCCTGGAGGCCTCCGCCGCGCCCGGCGCAACACCGCAGCAACTGCAGCAGCCACCGCCGGTCAGCTCCGGCCCCACATCGACCGCGCCGATGGGGGTTCCGCTCCACCAAGTCCGGTTCCCGTCCTCGTCGTCCCCGCTACCAGCTTGGTTGACCGAGTCGTCGTCTCAAGCGGTCTACACGATGGCCTCGGGACCACCGCACGTGACGTCACAGCAGGCGCAGTACGGCGGATCCTCCAGTTCCGCGGGTCCCTACGTTGGCCTCGACGCGATGCAATTCCATGGGGGGGCCCTATGATCACTGACCCAGCACCGCTGCTCCAGCACCGCTGAGCCGTACCCCCACGGCGGTCATACCCAGACGGCGCCGCGCTTCGCCAAGCTCGCCTTCACCACCTACGACGGCGCCGAGGACCCCCTCAACTGGCTTAATCAATGTGACCAGTTCTTCCGGGGGCAATGTACGCTCGCGTCGGACTGCACCTGTCTCGGTTCATATCACCTCCGAGGCGCCGCACAGACTTGGTATTACGCTCTCGAGCAGGACGAGGGCGGCATGCCTCCATGGGAGCGTTTTCGCGAGCTCTGCCTCCTTCGCTTCGGGCCGCCGATACGCGGGAGCCGGCTGGCGGAGTTGGGCCGTCTTCCCTTCACCTCTACGGTGCAGGACTTCACCGACCGCTTTCAGGCCCTGGCATGCCACGCACCCGGCGTGACGGCTCGCCAGCGGGCTGAGCTCTTCATCGGCGGTCTGCCGGATCATATCCGCGTGGACGTGGAGCTGCAGGGACCCCAGGACCTCCAGACGGCCATGTACTACGCCCGCGCGTTCGAGCGCCGCGCGGTGGCTATCCAGCAGGCGTCACCGTCCCGGGCCGCTGGGCCACCACCCTGGACGGACGTCCCCACGCAGGGTCGGCCTGCTCAGGCTTCCGCGGCACCCCTCGCCGCGACCGCGGCGCGCCCGTTCCGCCGGTTCACCCCGGCCGAGCAACTCGAGCGTCGCCGCCAAGGGTTGTGCTTCAACTGCGACGAGCCCTACGTGCCCGGCCACATCTGCCCGCGACTCTTCTACCTGGAGGCTACGGACTACATTGAGGAGGAGGAGGACGCCGCCGGGCTCGGCGACCTGCCCGCCCCAGCTGCCGCGGAGGTGTTTGGCGACGGTTGATCACCTCGAGGAGTTCCGCAAGCGCTTCCCCGCCTTCCAGCTCGAGGACGAGCTGTTTGTGCGGGCGGGGAGAAATGTTATGACCAGCATGTTAGGGGCTTAGCCCAGTTAGTTGTGGCCCAGTCTATCTTATCGTTATTAAGGGCTTAGCCAATTATCGTTATTAGGGGCTTGGGAGTCAAATAAACCTCTCTATATAAGGAGAGGAGATGTATCAATCTAATCAAGCAAAGAAGCAATCGTATTTGCTCGGCTTCCTTAGGGAGTTGGGTGACCTAACCCTAGCCGCCTCCTCCCCTGCGCCATCTCCCTCTCATCTCCCTCTCAGCCGCCGCCTCCTCGCGCACGACGGTGCCCAGCCGCTGCCGGCCGCGAGTTCGTCCACGACCGGCTCCCTCCTTCCCCTACAACCTCCGGCCTAGACCCAGTAGAACCCTAGTTTCTACCACGGTCTTTACCTCATAATTCAACAGTTGTTGTGCACATTACCAGAGTTTACAAATGTTTGCACGTTATACTAGATTACCAAAAAGCTGGGTTTTTACCAGGGCCTTAATTCTTATACTGACCCAATCTGTGAATTGACATCTCGGACCCAATCATGAGTGCCAGCATGCCACGTAAGTATGAGGTGACTTTACAAATATGGGTCCACCTATAGGAGTGACCCAGTTTACTTGTTTTCTGATAAGACATAGAAACTAGCACACTGATCTAAAGACATGTAACTAACATTTTTTTTTCAAAAAGGAGGCAAAAGATTTGCCTCATATATTAATTAAGGAGAGAAGAGGTTTTACAAATACCCCACAAACACCACATGACAAGTACTCTCACGATACAATTTTCCCTAGGTGTTTAGCCCCCGCGGTGGACCACAAATTGGCCTTGTTCAAGATGCTGGCGAGCAAGATTGGCGGTGGAGCACTCTTGTGATGGAAAACACACGCGTTTCTCTCATTCCATATAGTCCAGAAGACAAGCATGGTGAAGGAGGCCAAGGCCTTTCTATCAGGGTTGCTCGTGTCGGTTCTCTTCGCCCAAGACAAACATGTAACTAACATTCACGGGGTTAATAACATCTCAAGCATGTTATTTATGACTAGTACAGCCTACTTTGCCATCCTGTACGTATTTATGAGTCAAACAGTTCACATGTGTAGACAAAGGGACATGATCCTGAGTCCACATATTTGGCCACGTAGGTAAGGAGCATTATTGTTTAAACATAATAATCCGGTACTATGCACAAACATTTGCAAATCCTCCTAATTTGCACTACATGCGTTGAATTAAATGGTAAAAACAATGTATAAATTGCAAGCCTTTTTATCTTTCCTAGTAAAAGCAAATAGTGTGGAGATGTAAATGAGGCCTGAAAGTAACAGAAAGAAAAGACAGTGAGGGATCCATACGGAGTACTTTTTGTAAGCTCTCGCATATACTCTTTCCACATTTCATGCATTGGCTTATAGAGGTCAAACCTGCAAGAATAATAATCACATGTAAAAACTGCATAACTCCAAAGATACCCCATGTGGGGATCTTAGCAAGGATATAAATATTTCAGTCATATCATGAAAATGTGATGATAGGAGAAGAAAACTTATACTAAACCTGAACAAGGATTACCTGCGGAATTTATCATGTAAATCAAATGACCCACATTTCTTATGTTGCTTCAGTGACATGTGCCTTTTTGATCGCTTCGAGTGGATCAACAAAGATCGTGATTGTGCATCCACTAATATAGGACCCCTTTGAACATAGTTATCCAAAAGAATCCCTCTATCCAACTTTAACTTTTTCGATCCCTTGGAAATTTTCCCGGCTTCTCCACCTTTCTGAATTATATCATATATGACATTTTGAACTACGTCTGTGCTGTCGGGATCCTACACCAAAGTTCACCCAAAAAATATTAAAGGATATTTCAAACCATATAAAGTTAAATTTGAGACCATAACACATACCATGGGTACTTACCGCATAGTCATCTTGGGACAAATTTTCATGAAGAGCAAATGAAATCTCAGAGTATATAGGGTTGATTTCTCCACCTAAAAGGTCAAAAAGCTATCAGTTAATTTCAGGACAAAGTCACACGCACACACAGATATAGGTTTACCTGAGGAGGCAGAAGGCTTTTGTTGATGACTGGAGTTTCCTTGAGCTGAGAAGCAGCAGCAGCAGCAGTATAAGACAAATTGGGGACGTATATAAAATGTGCACTAATGAAATGGAGAATGGTGAACAAAAATAAAAATAAAAATAAAAACCTCTAAATGTAGGCAGCTGGCCAGAAGTTCGAGGAGTGGATTCAGGAGTTTTTCCTTTCCTCTGTGCATCAAACTTGGGCTTGGGGGTACTCTCTTTGTTCTTCGGGCACTTGGGCTGTTCATCTTGCAGCTTCTTAGCTTTAGCTGCTGCATACCGTTGTTGAATAGCTTCTAAGGTCCGTTTCTTCTGATCAGAAATAGTTGACATTGATCCTACGCCAGATCTGAGATTAAAGCAAGCTAAGAGCAGTGGTGGGGACAGGAACAAATCATAGGGTGTGCCACCTTAAAAAAATCGACATCACACGAGTAATACGAAATTGACCAAATGAGCAATATAAATAGTTTAATCATGTCTCACAGCAATAGAGTTCACTATATATGTTTGAAATTTGCAACTACCAACTAGCTCTGAAGACTGAACATTGAAGTAGTATTGAAAGTCCGAAAGAGTAGTTTCTAATCACACTAACGGACTAACCAGTGAGCCAGGATTAAAGCAAACCCCGGGCGAATTTTTTCCCGTCAACATGGAAAACTTTGGCACTTATAACACCCCCAAAATATCCCATAACATTCCAGAAAAATACCTAGTGTGAAAAACATACAAAATAAAGCTCGATTTCTCAATAAATCTAGAATTTAACCCCCGGTGCTTATAACAATCTAACAAAAAAAGATAAAACATGACAAAACTACAGGTCATCTAGACATGCGACAATCAGACAATGCATACACCAATTTCTATTTCCGCAAAATGAATCAATTCGAGTTCCATCAACAGATTACACATACTCACATAACACTGTATTCCATTTTAATTTCAGTTCAAAATTTAAATCATCTATGCACTGTGACAATCAGACAATCCATACATCAATTCGCCAAAGACAAAATTACCAGCGAGAGGGGGGCGCCGCGGCAGCAGTAGGCACCAGCAGGCCACACAGTCAAGCAACACACAGCTGGCGGCGAAAGAATCACGGGGCGGGGGCGCAGCGGAGGAGGCCGTCGTCGCCTCGTCGGCTGCTCAGCTCGTTCAGCCGTTCAGGTCTTCAGGGTGTCACTGCTCTCCAGATGTAATGGACAAGACGGCAAGACTGCTCGGAGTTCTCACCGGAGGTTGCCAAGTTCGAAGTCAGGCACCGGCGCTCCGCGCTCCGCGGGCCGCCGCCGAGCCGAGGGTGAGGACGGGGGATGGGGACAGGCGAGCAAGAGCAAGGGGAGGGGTATCGAGCCGCCGGGACCCGGGGCAGTAGTGGAGGCGAGGCAGCCGGTAGTGAGGACGGGGGGCGAGGCTGGGGAGCAAGGGGAGGTGCGAGGTGGGGCGCCAGTCGTAGAGACGGCGGCGGAGGGAGCGGCGTTCGGCGACTTCGTTCGACAGGGCACGGCCGCACGGTGACGATCTGACGGGCCTCCAGGGCTAATAGGAATCGCCTACAGACGACGACAAACGGGCCGCCCATTAGTGCCGTTTTTTCGTTGCGCGCTGTACGTTCACTCTGCTCAGTTTTCTTCGGGTGCACGGATTCACAAGCTTTTTGTTGGTAACGGAAGGGGTTTTGGGAGGTTAAATCAAGCTTTGATCACTCTTCTGCCAAAGTCTCCAGAAGCTTCCACGGTATTCGACTTCAGACCTATATGCCTTTGTGCATAGCATGCCCAAGATTGCATCCAAACTTCTGACAGCAAGGCTCAGACCGTGCATGGGAGAGCTGGTCCAGGCGAACCAGTCCGCCTTCATCAAGGGGAGATGCTTGCATGATAATTTTTTGCTAGTGAGGCAAATGGCGCGCTCGATGCACCGAAGGAAAGCGAAAGGAGTACTGCTCAAGCTTGACATTACAAAAACTTTTGACTCCCAGGCTTGGCCGTTTTTGTTTGAAGTACTAAGAGCTAAAGGTTTTTCGGAACGTTGGATTTCATGGATCGCAATTCTGCTTATCACTGCCAGCTCAAGAGTGCTAGTAAACGGATGCGCTGGCAACAAGTTCATGCACGCTAAAGGTTTGAGGCAAGGGGACTCGATTTCCCCTCTGCTTTTCGTTATTGCCATGGATGTTCTTACGACAATTATCATCAAGGCGCATGAGGCTCGAGTGATGAGCACGATCAATGTATGTAGCCCGATGCAGCGCCTGTCTCTGTACGTGGATGACGTGGTACTATTCATCAAACCAACATGGCTAGATCTCCTGTTCGTTAAGGAAACCCTCACAATCTTTGGAGTGACATCGGGGCTTAAAGTAAACTTCGCCAAATCAGAGGCAATCATGATCCGAGCTGACACGGAGGATGAAGAGCTTGTCAAGTCGGTACTACCTTGGAAGATCACCACATTTCCATGCAAGTACCTGGGTCTCCAGTTAAGCATCAAACAACTTAAGAGATCCGAGTGGCAGCCGATTGTGGATGCGGCCCTTCGCATATTGCCAGGATGGCAAAGGGGCTTGGTGACTAGACCTGGGAGGCTTATCCTCGTCAACCAAGTCATGAGGGCGCGGGCCACACACCACCTTATGGTTGCGGGGGCGCCAAAATGGGCTTTGAAAAGGGTGGACAGAGGTTGCCGGGCTTTTTTCTGGGCCGGGACGGAGGAGGTGAATGGTGGCAAGTGTGTGGTATCCTGGGCAAGGGTATGCAGGCCAAAACACTTGGGTGGATTGAGCGTTATTGACTTATCTAAGCACGGCATTGCTTTAAGATTACGATAGGAATGGCTTAGACGCACAGATACTTCCAGGCCTTGGCAAGGGCTCAACTTGACCGCGGATAAGAAGGTGGCCCAAGCTTTTGGGAGCCTGGTTAAATGGAAGGTCGGAGCGGGAGACAAAATCTGGTTTTGGAAAGATTGGTGGCTTCATGGCGCAAACATCGCTGAGCTAGCCCCCTTGGTTGTGGCTACAGTCCGTACGCAGGTAGCAAACAAAAGGCTGGTACGTGATGCGGTGCACATGCATGCTTGGATGAACGACATGGTGGGTGACCTATGCACGGAGGGTCTTACCCAGTTCATCGGGCGTTGGGAGATCATATCGGAGGTTCAATTGGATGCTCAAACTGAGGATAGCCCCATTTGGGCTTGGAATGTGTCAGGAGTCTACACCGCATCTTCCGCATACAAGATGCTTTGTGAGGGAGGAGTTAGATTCCACTCTTTCGGAGCAATCTGGAAATGTTGGGCGCCACTTGCGTGTAAAATCTTCATGTGGTTGGCGGTGCAATACCAATTGTGGACGTCGGATAGAAGGGCGAGACACGGTTTGCAAGACCAAACATCAAAATGCTACTTCTGCGACCAAGAGGAAGACACGGTCGACCACATCTTGCAGCAATGTGTGTTCTCAAGGCAAGTGTGGTACAGATGCATGACCAGGATGGGATTGAGGATGGAGCTTTGCCCAACATACGAGTCTCGCTTGGTGCAATGGTGGACGGAAGTTAGGAAACGCATACATAAGCAAACGCGGAAAGGATTTGACACATTCGTGATGCTCATCTGTTGGACACTTTGGAAGCAGAGGAACGCGAGAGTATTCGGATCGAGCCAAATCAAGAATGAATGGGAGACCGTGGACTTGATCTTCGACGATTTGAGGACCTGGGCTACGGCAGGAGCATTTGGAGGACGATCGATACCTGAGTAGTAGAGTAGCATTAGGAGTGGGGTGAAGGCTTGGTTGGGGTCGGTTTGTGATCTCCAACTAGCGCATTTGTAAAACTCTTGTAAATATTTTTCTCCCTTCTATAAAGCTATGGTACGCCTTTGGCGTACCCTAAAAAAAAGTTTTCTTCGGGTTCTTTGATTTTTCATCATCTGTTTTCTTCCGTTTTACTTTTTTATTTTACTTTTGGTTTTCTTTGTTTTCTCGTTGTTTTTATTTTGAAAAACGTTTATTCTAAGCTGACTGAACTTTGCCTGGCTTAAACCGCGCCGCTAGCCGTCCAATGCACTTTGATCGCGCGACGCCAGCTGTGGACGTAGTTGGTGTCCACACACCCACGCGTCCCCACGGGTCCCACCAACCGCTCTCTTATCACCACATGGTATGTGTGGTAAGTAATTTCATACTTCAGTTCAAAAAAAAAGTAATTTCATACTTGAAATGATGTCGTTGAGTTATGAGGCTTAATTTAAGTGGTGATAGATAGTAGAAAATAGAATTAGATGAAAAATACAAAATAAAAAACCCGCTCTCTTATCTTCTTATCCTCTAGCGCGACCCCATGAGCCACCATTCTCTCCATTTTTCCCCAAGGGTCCCACCAACCGCTTTTGTCGAATACCATCAGTGTTGTGTTGAAGCTGCCGCACGCTGAGTAATGTTGTGGCCTTGCTACGGTCGTATAGCCACCAGCACACAAATCTAACGGTTGGTTAGGCGGATGACTCAGCCGCCTTTTATTTTTTTGGTTTTCTTTCTTCATTATACTTTGTGTTTTTGTTTCCTTCTTGGGTTTCTTTGCTTTTATTCCTGTTAATTTGTCGGTTATTATTGTTTTACTCTCTTCGTTCCTAAATATTTGTCTTTCTAGACATTCAAATGGACTACAACATACGGATGTATGTAGACATATTTTAGAATGTAGATTCACTCATTTTATTTCGTATGTAGTCGCTTGTTGAAATCTCTAGAAAGACAAATATTTAGGAACGGAGGGAGTATTTGTTAATACATGTCTACTGTTTTCTCATTACACAATGTACATTTTTAGAGCACTTGTTAAAAAATTGGTACACATTGGACATTTTTCAAATACATGGTCTACAATTATTTAAAAATACATCCTTTGAACACTTTTTCAAATACACAATAACATTTTCAAAATACACGTGGCACATTTTTGAAAATCTCAGACATTTCTTAGAAACACATGATTATTATTTTAACAAAAATGTGACATACATTTTTAATGAAAACAAACATTTTTTTAACTACATGAACATTTTTTTACATTGTACCAACTCCGCTACAAAATAAGTGTCGTTGCTTTAGCATGGGTGGAGTAGTACATTTAAAAAAAATGTCATGAAAGTTTTGTTGAAATGGCGGAATATTTTCATAAAATGTCACATACAATTTTTGAATGGTTCGAAACATTTTTCACATTATGCAAACATTTTTTTTACATTGTATACACATTTTTATCAAAAATGCATATATATTTTTGAAACACGGGGACATTTTTTCGTTTTCACGAACATTT